GTTGAAACATGCAAGCCTTCTACAAGCAAGAATTCCAATGCAAAGTTCGTGCCGCGGATCACTCCGATTTTGTTGACTTCTTTTCGCTTATTCAGTCAGGTGTGTGACTGGGAACTCGAAATTCTGTGCAGTTTAAACTACTTCTTAATTATGAGATTGATTTTGAGAAAATATATTTTGCTGGACCAAGAAAGAATTTTCTGTTACTTACATCTAATGTGAATATGGAATTTTTTTAAATTTTACTTGGAAGTGACAAGCAGTCAGAAGCAGTAGTTTTCATTTGAAGTCCGCGTAGTCTATATGTCCAAAAACATTTGTGACGGATTCCATCTTACATCCGTTATGCGATCTAGGGCAAAATAGCTTCAAGAATGACATACAAGTGATTTAAACTTCTTTTTGCAGTTAGTACAGGGATGTTTAAAAAAAAAGCCTATATTTGCTCATATATTCAAAGTGAAACATTATGACACCGCACAGTAAAAAAATAATTCATGGATGCTGGAAAATTGGGGCACTTTGTTCTGGGAATGCCAATCCTGCTGTTGACGATCATCAGCTGCTGTTACAGCTGATGATCGTCAACAGGATTGGGTTTAAGTTGACGAGCACCAGCTTGCCCTGTAAAAACAGGATGGGTTTAACTGACTGAGATCCGTGTCTTGGTCAATCTGTCCTCATTCATGACGGTCTTCACACCATCATTAAATTAAAAGAGCCCTGGAGTAGAGTAGAGAGAACAATTTGAGCCCTAGAGCCGTCATAATATGACGTCCTAATCCCATAGCGCACTCAAATCATCGGGGTCGAAAGCGTTAACTGTCAGAGTTGATTATAATCTGCAATGAGAACTCCTACGGCTCGTAACGTTGGCGTATCGGGTTTGTCGTGCCACAGGGTTTCCTTTCGCGGATATAAGCCATTCACAATGTCCAGGTTTTCATGAAGCACCCATCACTTAAAATCTTAATATCATTGCATTGTTTTCAGGCAGCCAAGGGAAGGAACAGAGGTAGATCCAGGACTCATTTCCGGGAGGAGCTCGATCCAACGTCCATGGAATAAATTGCAACAGAAGCACGTGAAACTAAAAAGTCGAATAACACAGAAACGTGCATTACAGAACAGTAAAATTGGACTAATGCAGAATAATAAAGTTAAAAAGACAAGAGGTATAATAACACCAAAGAAAATCAGATAAATATTAATATTTAAATAGTGAAAATCCATGAAACACTCCTTGTCCAGAATTTCGATCAGTGCCCCAAGCTCAGTGTCCCGTGCCCAGTGCCCTGTGGTCAGTGCCCCGTGGCTAGTGCCCCGTGGCTAGTGTGGCCGGTGCCCTGAACCCCGTGTCCCGTGTACCCCTTGAATGCTTCAATGGAGGGGAACGATAACGGACCAGGGATATAACTTTTTAAAATGTTGCACGACGTAAATTGTACATTCTTATTTGGAGAAAAAGGGGAATGGGTTGAACAAGATGCTTCTTTAAAATATTCGTCCAATTCTGAGTTGCTGAATGGCTACTTTTCTTTCGGTATCATTTTTTCTGACATAAAGGCAAGAAAGATGTTTCACCCCTGCCTCCCTCCTCAACAATATCATTCTTAGCTCAATCTTTCCAAGATGTGGGAACAGAAACAGAACTTTCAGGTCTCGTACTTAAGAAATGACGATATGAAAAATATGATATGTTCACAAGAAGACTCAACAAGAAGTATAATTTCGTTTATATTAGATTACTAATTCCCAGAGATGTCATGAGCGATACCGAGGTGAACATTCCAACCCCATACATTCGTATACTGCTCGGGATTTTATGGGGATTTTATGGGGATTTTATGGGGATTTTATGGGGATATCTCCCAAAATATGTCGATATAGGGTAAAGCCACCAATGTTCGGACAGTTGAGGTGGGATAGGATTGTAATTCGTTCGTCACGCCTTTATGGTACAACCTAGATACTTCATTTTTTTTTGCATCCGGCAGCACAATATGAGTAGGTATGAGTGTGATGAAGATGATGGCCATCGAAGCCTTATAGCTTTCAGTGATTTCAATTATGTGGGTGTCCGATCTTAGATGCGAAAAAACCAAGTTTGAACACACCAGTAATAAGGCGGAAATATCCTCCTGGCATGCGTATTCCCTTGTAGCAGTGCTCTACGTTCCCTAGTTTCCTGTGGAATAAGAACTGATCACATAATTAACAGTACCGCGTGGGAAGCGTTTCTCAAGTAAGGTCGTCTCCGTACATTTCTTGAATTTGTCCTTTCCGTGACATGACATTAATTCCCGCCTAATATTTCGAAATCGTGCTCAGCGATCGTGGCCACGGCATGTCTTTCGCTTAGTAACATGGTCATCTTGGGTTAAGAAGAACTCGCTCTCTGATGTCGATCCCGCGAATGCGAATTTATTAACAATAAATGTTAGTGTCCGAACTTTAGTGCTCTCCAAACTTAGGTGGTTTTACCCTATGTAATCAAATTTTGTACATACTCGTATATACATAACAGTTGATGGTGACGAGATAGGTACGATTTGAGGAAACAAGTTGAGCAAGGAGTGAGTATGAAGCCTTCAGTCTTAATTGTTGACTGAAATCCAATGATCTGAACATGACCGAAGTAAAAGACGCTTTGAATTGTGTGGCTTATAGGCAAGCAACCAAATGTGTCCTTCCCCACTACCACTTTGCATTTCTCTGTCGACGACAGTTGGAATGCCGGAATGCCATGACGAGATCTGGCGTCCTGGCACAACTTTATGAAATGGGCCGCATTTAGCTCATATCAGGTTTGATCCATCTTGAAGACTGGCGATGAAATAAAGATAAGAAATATGTTAGTGATTAATGCGTCTCCCTGCATTCGCAAGCCTGCTATCGGTCGTGCGGACAGTTTGCCTTCTGGGGAGAAACGAGCCTTCGATTTTTTTTTGTAATCATAAATCGAGAATGGCTTGGCAGTTCCTCCATTCCCCCGACTTATGGCTTCGGGAAAATCAATGAAACAAAAGCGAAAGCAAGAGAGGATGGAGGGCCACTATCGACCCGAAGGCGAGCTTCATGTGAGTGCGGCCTTATATATCAAAGACGCTTCTATACCGTGCTCGAGCAAATGCGAAAGATTGAGTTCATTAGTGAAACCTCGACGAACCGAAATGGATTTCTCCACGTGGAGGAAAAGTATCATGCGCCATCAGTGGCGTCGTGAGAGCAAAATCATTAGGATACTCGGAAAATAACAGGAAAAGGGGGGAGGGGTATGCTCTGCAAATCTACCTATCGCATGATGCTGTCGCCTCTAAATCTCAGTCAAGAATGAACAATGAGTTCAAGAATGAACAATCAAAGAACATTGAGTTATCCTGCCCACTCAGGTACATAACGGAGCCGAGAAGTACAGTAAAAGATACTATACGCGAAAATGGTCAGATTGCATTTGCTTGCCCTGAGGAAAGCGTGAAACATTCACCAGGTTTGCATTTTCTACATGGGTTTCAGTCCTCATTACAACCAGACCTATTGCCAATGATGTTCTGAATTCGGCAGGAAGGAGATAGGAAATCCACGCCAGCAGAGACGCGTGGCATCGTATCGGCCCATCTTTTGCGGGATCTTTTCCTGAAACGGGAATCCGTTCTTCAAAACCACAGCACCACAAGTTAGACACCAAAGATTACGTATGATCTACCATAGCTATCTAATCTACCCCATGATGAAACACCATCATATACAATTCCAGGAGTTTCTACTTGCGAACGGGAAAAGTAGAGACGCGTGCCCCCCGAGGCCCGTGTCTCCTCAAAGTGCATGGCGCCACCCATCCCCGACACCCCGGCCATTCTGACCTTCCAGGAAAGAATAGCTCTGATACAAATATTCCAGACTACTTTTCGCGTCAATGACAATTGGAATTGAATTTAGCGAATCCGGATCGGGATTGCTCCGGCAGGGAAGCGAATTTCATCGTGCTCCTCCGTGTGGCTCCTTCGCGGTCATCTTTTCCTTCCGACTTTCGTTAAAAGTTTGGCTGCGTTATGGCAACAGAAATGCTGGAATAATGAAGTACGCGTGGAAAGAATCCCCTCCCCCTCCCCCTCCCCCAACCTCCACCCCAAATCCCAGAGGGAATGAAAACCCCGGCGGTGGGAATCTTATGATAATCCCATTCCCCGCACGCAATTGCGGTAACAGGATTTTTGTCGCAGACCCTCACAGGATAGAGCTGCTCTCTGCTCATCCGCATAATCATCTTTCCTCTCTAAGGGGATCTTTTCCTCGAACAACTAAGACGATACCCCTCCCTGGCAAACTTCGGTTTCACAGTCAACGCAGCCTTATCATAACATGAATGGTTTCAGTTACAATGAGTTGGCTTTTCTTTTTCAAGATAATTATTTTGAGAGAGCTGATGATCAAGGTGAGACGCATCTTGAAGATTGAAATGAGATCATTACCTGACATTCAGTGCCTTAATCTAGAGTGTTGGTAGATCTACCTTGATGATGCACGACACCATCTGCTAAAGCGTCATAGCCAGGACCTTGGATATCCAGAAAAGGAGTCAAGGTTCCACTGTGAGGTCTCAGGGATTTGCACTTGGGTGAGCAGTTACGTTTCGTTTTCGTTCTTATTCACGCCAACTTTCAGACGTTCCGTGCTGTATGGAACTGCAGAACAAAACCAGGAAATCAATCGTGATAAAACCCACTCACAACTTCCCAATCAGAGAGATCACAGGTTTTTTCAAAAATCTCTCTGAGTCTCTACTTGTCTCTGGTCGAAGTGGACGTCAAACGGATATCATTGGGTGGGAAAAGGCAGAAGGATCCAGAACGACCTGTTATAGGAATTGGAGCCCCGCTATGAGGAGCAGCAGTAAGCCTCGTATGAACGTGCAACGTCTGCCATCTCTCGAAGTAAGTTTCAACTAACCAGGAGCAGAAAATAACGTCATCATCGCGACCACGTTTTCTCCAGTTGATCACGCATGGCGTGACAACAGACCCGCGTGACCTTCATGCCCGTCCGCCAGTTTCACACAGAATGCCTTGATATTCTGCATTGACTAAGGTGTAAAAGATAAAAGGGTCGGGTCGGCTGTCTTCTTTTTCATCAAATCGTTTCTCCCTTCGCAGTTGTTGACTCGCTGTGCGTCAGACGGCAGACCCCCTCGCTGGGCTTGGACAGCAAGAGCACATTGTAGAGGGAAGACGTTCGCAATATGGGCTTGAAGAATAGTGAAGAAGCAGTAGCCGTTCAGAAATTCAAGGAATATCTTCGTATCAAAACGGTCCAGCCGAACCCTGATTATGGTACGGTATGACACAAAAGCAGCCATGTAATCATTAGGTCGGCATCTATTCAGATGCAATAATAGGCCTATGAGATCTTAATATGACCCATGATTATTGAGCAGCTTCTTCCGTATGAAGGCTAGCTTCCCTTTCCAGGTACTGCAGTGAAATTCCTTCAAGAGTATGCCAAGGAATTGGGGCTTTTGTGTCAAGTTGTTGAGCCTGCACCTGGGAAACCAGTCGTTATCATGACATGGATTGGTCAAATGTCAGATTTGTCTGCAATTCTTCTCAATTCTCACATGGATGTAGTGCCAGTATTTCCGGTGAGATATTAGGAGTCCTGTTATGTTGCATGATTTATTAGCCAAGAAATGTTCTGCTAGTGTTTAGCTTGGGGTTTTGGTTATTTCATCAGGAGACTGTTATCTTGTAGGTGTAATATTTTTCGACTGTCCTACTTTCTTTAAAATTTACTATATATTTTCTTCTTTCAGGAAAACTGGATCCATGATCCATTTGAGGCTTTTGAAGCTGATGATGGAAAGATATTTGCAAGAGGATCTCAGGATATGAAGTGTGTTGGCATCCAACATTTAGAAGCAATCCGACATCTCAAAAACAAAGGGTTCCACCCCAAGAGATCTGTGCATTTGACATTTGTACCTGGTTGGTTTTATTTCTTAACTTTATGTTGAGGCTATGTTAGGAAAGGCTTCCAATCTAAGATATCTACGCATTTGGTAGTTGTACCTGCTCAAAATTTTGTCTGCAACCTGAAGCTGTATTTAGAGTCACAGATGCTGTAGTAACATTTTCCAGTAAATTTGGAAGTGTGAAACATTGCCATCTGCTAAAGTTTACTTACTGGCTTATATGTACTAATAATTGAGTTCCTTTTTTTTTTTTTTTTTTTTTTTTTTTTAAGGGGAGAATTTCTTAGTTTTGAGAAGCAACAGAATAATTATTGTACTTTAGAGTAATTAGAATTTAGCCTTATGCTTTTTAAAATTATTATTGTGATGTTGGTGATGATGAAGAGATTCTTATATGGGATGCAGATGAAGAAATAGGTGGTGAATTGGGCATGAAGAAATTCTGTAGAATGCAGGAGTTCCAGAAACTCAATATTGGTTTTGCACTGGATGAGGGTCTGGCAACACCTGATGATGTTTATCCTGTCTTTTATGCTGAACGCAACCAATACTGTAAGTATACCTCTCATTCTTCAAATATATAAATTAGCAAGCTTGAGGAAGTCTGGTTTAGATACCACATTATTGCCAAAGCCTAACCTTCATTTGCCCTGTTTGCCGAAGTTTTCCAAATCTCTGTCAACTTTTGCTTCCCTTTTGGCTTGACATCCAATTTTTGTAGAAATTACTTGGCCCTTAGCTTGTAAACTCACTTTTTACCTTGCTGAAAATGGAAGTGTCTGCAAAGTGGTTAAATTATGATCCTGTTGCTCAGTGGTTTTCATGTTTTCCTCAAATTATGATGGAAGAATTCCTTTCTTCAATCCCTTTGATGATATTCCAGATGGCTTCTATTGAGGCTGGGTGGTTAGACTTTCATTTCATTAGCAATGCTGCTACTACTGATGTGCATAAAAAATGGTAAAATTGTTCAAGGAAAATGGATTGGATGGGATAAAATTAAATGTTGCTATCTGGTTGTGGCTGGTTATTTATTATTCAGATTTATGGATGAAACTTGGGACTGATTTTATTGAAATTTAATATGCAATTTAAATTTTAGTTGGATTGTATCCATAGTTTTTATTGCTACTTGTTTCCAGCAGTCAATGATAGTGTATTTCAGGTGCCAATGCCTATCAAGAAATATTAAAGTAGCACAAAGTATTTGCTTCACATTACTTTAGAGGCCACCATGGGCATAATGTAGCTAAAATTATGATTTATTTCTGTCTTTCAGCAGAGTTTCTGAAATGTTTGGTGGTGATATCTATCCCTCTTTCCCTCAATTCTGCTCAGAGCAGAATTAGACAATAATGTAATATGAGACTATTTATTCTCATCATCTCATAAATCTGTGTTACCCAAATGCTTTCCACAGGATACAGTATTATCACCTTGATATTTGTCTTCCTACCATGGTTTAGGGGCAGAATTTGAGTTTGTTGGGAACCCTGGTCATGGATCAAGATTCATAGAGGATACAGCTGTGGAAAAAGTGCACAAGTTCATGGGAAAAGTTCTACAATTCAGGGAACAGGAGAAGCAGAGATTGGAATCTCACCTAGAACTCACAGATGGAGATGTAACTTCATCCAACATAACTATCTTACAGGTACTTTTTTCCCCTCGCTAGTTTCTCTTCCAGAAGCACTCAAAGGTGTTTTGTTAAAGCAACCATACTACCTGAAGTATTTGTTATTTTTGCAGTTGTATTATTTGGTTCTGATGCAGGGAGGAAAATTTTTTTATTTACTTGCCATAGCAAACCAGATGGATTCTAGTAGGTGATAAAAGAGGACTAGATTGATGGATAGGTAATTGGGGTAGACTGTGTGAGTACTACCAATATCCTTTCAACCTGGATACCCGGTGACATGCACACTGCACGTAGCACCATCAGAAAAGGAATATAATTTATCTACCTGTCATTCAGCAAATCAAAGATTTTTGTGCAGGTGTCATACCATGCTCTGGGCATAGCATATCCATATGCTGTGTCTAGAGTTGTTCCTTTTCATCAGTCTCAAGCCAGTTGGTATTTTTTCCTGAGTAGTGATGAAGATTAAGTATTTCTGCTTTGGTTGAGTGCATATGAAAGCCTGTGGCAGTGGAACATCTCTTGCTTGCATTGCTTGCAAGGAGCATTGCAAAGCTGATGGTTATGAAGGAGAGTGAGTATGTTAAGCATGAGACATACATGAGTTCATCAAAAATGGCGAACCTAATCTCTTGGCCATTGAGGTTCTATCCACTATCCATGTGTGAGAGGGGTTCCTTGAGATTCCATGGTGATTCACACATTCCTTAACTTTTGGGTGTAGATCTTTTCTTATAAACCAAGAGATGTATAAGTGTTTCAGGTGTCTTGAGCCTTGCTAGCATAACTAACAGGTTACTGGACAGATGAGTGAAGCATTTGCTGGTAGTGTACTATGAACCCAGATGAATGACCTACTGGTTTTGAGTTGATCCGCATTACTAATGGAGGGAATATAGCCAACATATTATGTCAGGGACATATACTTATTACTCCACCTTCCTGCTGACTCTCCCACCTCATGGAGGCAATCAAGATCAAGCAGCAGTTCAAGAACATGAAGATGCTGATTATCGTCCACCCTCCTGGCTGGACATTACAAGGAGTTGAGAAGCTATTCAGTATTTATGTTTTCAAACTACATGCTTGCAAAGGTAGGAGTTGCGAATACTATGCAGACAGTATACCAAGAAGTAAGATGATGCTAAGGTTCTGGGTATGTTTTGTAACAGAGTAAATCTATGATTTGTTTTACAATGTGTTTCTTCAGGAAGGTTTTTCAAAACTTGATGGATATTAAGTCAATAAGATTGCCAATTGTGGTAAAAATTTAATGACGTTTGGAGGCTTAATCTTCCCATATACAAGAGGAAGTCAACAAATAAAATAAATTGTTTAAATGTGCAAATCAAGCAGTCAGAATGAACAGGGAACATCTGGTAGGCTTTGTAGTCATCCTGGCCACTGTCTTATCCCTACTTGATAGCTCCATTAGTGACTTTCAGTAGCAAGGAGCAACAAGCTTTGATATGTTTTCTCATTGTAGAAGGTGTGAAACTGTTGTGCATTCATGAAAGAATGATTGCAACATTTAGTTCCAGCTGTATGTTGGCTAAAAGTGTGTAGAAGGAGATAGATCCCTTCAAAAATGAATGTATACTCACTTTTAATAAGGAATGTGTTGGACAAGCAGATGAAGGCAACTGTGCAGAAAATGCCACTTGTGTAGGAGCTAATTTTGAATGACAGGAACATACCCATTGACAGCATTTACAGTGAGGTAATCATTAGCAATGGAAAAGTCTACAACTTTGTTCATGAGAAGCTAAACTTGGAAGATGTGTGCTCAGTCATGGCCTAAGATCATAAGCCTAAGACGGAAGAACTCAAAGTAATGTGATTGTGGACATGCAGGAATCTTCTCACTAGGTTTGAGCAAGAAGTGGGTGCATTTTTTGGCTGCATTGCTTTGACTTGGATACCAAGAATAGTAGCATCTTGAAATAATGGAAGCAACCAATTTCTTTGTCCAGGAAGATATTGAAGACTCAGGCTAGCCCCAGGAAAGTCTTCTTAACTATATTTTGAGACATGCCATATATTTTAACCTGAAGCATCTAAAACCAGCTATTCTCCACATACAGGAGTGTTTATTGACATAAGCAGTACTGTTGCAGTACCTATGTCATGAAAGCCTGGTCCCATGCTACTAAAGCAACCTTTGATGTTGTCAAGTAAATGTAATGGCAACTTGTTTCACATCCTCCTTACTCTCTAGACTAGGTACCTTTTTTTTTTTTTGACCACTCAAGGAGGCCCTTAGGGATCACAAATTCAACTGTAAAGGTGATGTAAAGAAAGCTAGGCAACAGTGGTTCAGCAACCAAGCAAAAAACTTGTATATCAGACATACATAAGTTTTTGTAAATGATACAAATGTATTGAATTGGAGGAGAATTATGATGAAAAGTAATGATATTGGTAAGATCATATTGTATGTGACAAGTGGACAAATATGCAATTTTGACATGTTCAGGAGAACAAGAATTCACCTTTTTTCTTGAACTGCAGAATGAGAATTGGAGAACCCTGGAGTTTGCATCTTGGAGCTGAGAGTCTTGGTTCTTTGGTGGAATGGGAAATGTTCTTCAATTATCATTCTTCTGTCTGAAAAAATGCCTACATGCATCTCCTCCAGAAATGTTCAAAATTGTGTTAGCCCCTTTTTTATAGATTGTAGATTGTATCTATTATGCATGTATTTATATTTAAAAATTCACTTTAGTTATTGACTTCCTCTTGTATGTTGACTAAAGTACCTAATTTAAACAGACACTCAAACATTCACTACATTTATTTTTTGAGCCACATTGCTTTGCCACTGAAAGGAGTCTGGCAAAAAAATAAGAAGCAATGACTGAGTTGTTGCTGATTTCCATCTGGCTTCTTTATTGAAAGGGAGGAGTCCAGCCAAATGTGGTTCCTTCAAGCATCAAGATCACTGTTGATTTCCGAGTTACACCATCAAGAAAGATGGATGACTTTGAAAGAATGATTCAGTCTTGGATGACAGAAGCAGGCCCAGGGATTTCAAAACGTATGCTGGTTGAACATAAGGATCAGACCTTCACTTCAATATCCCCTGATGACCCTTGGTGGATGGCATTCTCTGGCGTTTTTGTTCATCTGTAAGTTTGAAGTACCAGTAGATTCCACAAGACACTAAATCAGTGTTTAATACCAATGTTCTCTGAGGGACTAAACTCTAGCTTAGTTCAAGGTCTCATCACCATAGCCAACCAATTCAATACCAGGTGCTATTTAATTAAATGTGAAGTTTCCTAAGCCTAGCCAACCTAATTGTAGCCACTGCAAATTGATTTCCTGATCTTGATGCAAAGCAGGGAATATAGGATCACACTTTTAAACAGTGGCAGTGCCAGAGGAATAGCTGTAGGGTCAGGGTGAAAGTTTGTCATGAACTGTCCTTTAACATGTTCACTTCCGATGATGCACCTTGTCATTATCCTTTCCATAGCATCATTGGCAGCGAACTTGTTAATGTCTTAGAACTTCTTATGAACAGATTTGCAGGATGAAGTTGTCATAATAGTCTACCATGAATAAATAATTTTAGTTGGAAACTTGGATCATGGTTTCCAAGGTTCTGATTTGAGCTCTCTAGTTGCCTAGGTGGGATTCAGTTTCCAAATGTAGTTTTACAGCCTGCTATAGGCATAGCCATGCCCCAAACATTGAGAGCACACTGACTTTATTATATTCATTTAGTCATTTTACTTATTTGCATGCTGACTATACTCAACACATAAGCAGTGGCCTAGCAAGTGGGGAGGCTGAAGCCCCCCAAATTTGGTTCAAGCCCCCCCCCCCCCCAACTCCAGTCTAAAAGCATCTGTCCCCCCTCCCCACGTGAAGAGAATTACACCCCCCACTGTTCTGCTTAGGCCCCTCCATTGGTGAAATCCTGGCTATGCCATTGCACATAGGGTTGACTAAAACAAGCTATTGGAAAATATATTTTTGCTAGTAGATCCACTCCAACTCATTACAAAGAATTCCTGTTAGGGGGCAGTTTTGCTTAGTGGAATCCATATGCTTGGAGTCATGCTGTTATTAATACATAGTTTCTATTTCTTTCCCATTGCTAAAATGTGACCTTGCAACTTGGACTGAGATTCATAAAAAAGATAGATGGTGCTGCGTTTCCTTGAGTATATAGTGCACCCTTTTTTTCATAAGTGCATTTTATCACTTGCAACAATGATGTTGGAAAGCACAAGTCATTGGAAAGGGCTTTTTCACTCTTTGCCCACTTTCAGTTCAATTGGTGTGCTAATTGCAACCAATGAGGTATTTATCTAGAGTTGTGACAGGATGATAAAAGAAACCACATACCATTGCATAATACTTTGTTCACACCAGCCAGTTAATGGTCATTTGATCAGTCACTGTAACTACAGGTAGAACTATTGATGGAGTTCTTTTCACAGTAGACATCATTTTCTTCCTTTGAGTTTCTGAAGGCAGTACTTGTGACAGACTCTATAGACAAATAAACTTTTCCAATTGCAATATAAGGGAAGAAACTGCCTCTTTGAATCAGAGATTGTTCATAATACAGTACTCTAGGTAGGGATTACAATCATGTTGAAAGGCATAGGAAAAGGTCACAGATTGCCTAGGACTATGACTGGCAAGATTGATGTTAGTTCTAAGGTGTGCTATGGATGAAAGACATATGGGTATGAGATCTTATCCATGCCACTTGCCTCTTTACTAGGTATGATTGATTTGATTTTTTGTTGTTGAGTAGGCATATACCTCATGATATAGGAAGTAGAAGATAAGAGAGAGCCATCAGTGTCACCATTCACATAAAGATTTCTTCTTTCTTGAAAATAATCATGCTTTCCATGCATGCCAGAGGTGTGCATCAAGTGGTACTAACTGCAGTTTGCCCATGATGTGAGTAAAAACTCAAATCAAGAAAGAGGTCACAGTTTGCCAAACTCTTTGATCCACAATCCCAACTTTCAGCTTGAAAATTTTGGAATTTCCCCTTGTATTCATCCCCACCCCTATGCCCTACATAAGTTGCAAAGTCTTTTTTCCACACCTTGATTCCCCTTTCCAATCAGAAATAAACAATTTTTAATATCCAGTTTGCTGTTTCTAGGTGGGTATGTTTATGACTTCAGCACATTTCAATCCATTGTTTGTAGTCAATCAGCTGTGCTTGAATGATAGAGATTGTCCTGGGGAATAAGATTTTATTACCTGATTTGCAATAAAGGATAGGGAGCTTGTTCTTGAAGATGAGGCAGATTTCTATGGCAGACTTTTCAATCTCATGTGTGAAAGGATAAACCACCTTAAAGAGGAAGGAAAAGCAGGGACAATCCCTATCGTTGGAGATAGCATTGTGTAACAAAGTTTAGGTAGAGGCATTATCCAGTGCTTGCTCTGATATCATCATTCAGGCAAGCTACATCAGTGGTAAGATGCAGCAGAAATTTTGGAGGAAGGACTGAATGACATTCTTAAGCCCTTGACCATTTTGATAATGTTATTCTTTGTGAAGTTTACTCAGGCAATAGGCAATCATGCTATCATGAACTATCATGAAGAATGCATCCATACTTGGAGTATTTAATCCTGACTTGTTTCAATGAATATTTGCAGGAATCTCAAGATGGATCCTCAAATATTCCCAGCTGGCACAGACAGTCGGTTCCTGCGAGAGGTTTGTTTCATGTTGCATTATATTTGCTTTTTCATTAATGCTTCTTATTCTATGAGATTGAAGGCCTTACCACTGTGTTATGTTATAACACTGTTTCAAACTCATCAGACTTGTTCATTGTCACAGATTACACGAGAACTTAGTATTTGCTTTTAAATATCCTATCAAAGAAATTTTCATATGTTTCATGTCATTGGAAGCTTCTTCCCTTCTCCCTACCAGTGGTGATCAGATCATGCTTTCAAATATGAAAAATTTTGCATAATTTTGTTTGTCCTCTAGTAGTTTGAATTTGCAAAACTTCTTTCCACAAGTCCTCCTCATCTGGAGCATCTGGTCTCTCTTCTTGCCTAGGAACAAAAATTCTTCTGCTCTTGACCTAGAAAAAGGAAACATATTTCTAGAGGCAATATATCTGACTGATTTTTTTTTCAGCTTGGTATCCCAGCTATTGGCTTTTCACCCATGATTCATACTCCCATCTTACTCCATGATCACAATGAATATCTCAAGAGACCAGTTTTCCTTGATGGAATTGAGATCTTCGTGCATCTGCTGAAAGCCTTGACAACTGTTCCACAGCACTGACAATTTGTTCTTGTCAGATTTGGCTTGCCTTAGTATCTTTCCTCTGACTGATAGTAGCTGATATTATCTCTATGCTTTCAATTTCACAAAAATTCTGAGTAGAAGAGCCATGAGATTCTTTACCATATCCAGGGAACTGTGTTCTTGTGATGATAATAACATGCTGCTGCCATACCCACGCTACTTTGACCAAGCTGAAAAGCTACACAGATGAGTTTTACATTCTTGCAAGGTGATATTTTATTCCATGCCCATACCTCATTCCTGTGATGCTTGAAAGGTGCTTATAATGTGCAATCGCTGTGACTGTTTCTATTCAATGGGGAGACATTTGCAATGCTCAACTCCCCTCTTTTTCTTTTTTGAGCTTAGCAAGTCATGCATCTTGTCAGGATCTTGTCGTTTGTATAAACACTCTATTGAATCCTTGGCAATAAATTTAAATTTTACAGAAACAGCATTTTCATTATTTTTTCTTAGATACAGAAAGGCTTCATGTCTTGGGTAATGTCCAGGATTGCTCACTTGGGATCATACGAGTGTTCAGGAGAAATAATAAACATATCAAGTTATCAGAAGCAATGGTATGAAATTGATCGGGATTCCCCAATCTTATGCTTTTTTTTCCCTAAGAGCGAAGCGTCCAAAATTGACGACAAACGGAACTACTTGAAGCCAGAGTGTGCATTTACTGACCTTGCCAATAAGGCTAAATTTCATATTGTCAATATTCTAAGTCCTTGAAGGAGTTCAAGGACACCTTGCATCAGCGCTTTTAGCAAATAATGGTATAAAAGTGTCCTTTTACTTGTCGAACCTCAAAGAAATAGTGGTAACGGAAAATTACATCTTCAAGGAGGAAACTCAATTGTATTTCAAACTGAGATTCTGCAGGTAAACACAACACTCCACACCTCAAAGGCGTAAAATACATGGACCTAGGAAAAATAATCGGAAGCGTCAGGGTTGGAACACACGAAAGAATGTAGATGATGAAGGCTGGGTCTTTGGAAAGAAAGCTGAACTTTCTAAGAGGAGGTTTGTTGGAAGCTCTTGGTAGTACTGATATTCCTATTCCTGTGACTCTCCCAGACTTGATAGTCCATCTCTAATTCTCGTCGCAGATCTGGGTCTCTTGGCTTCCTTATTTTGGCCAAGAATGAATCCAATTCTGGATCCGGGGTTGCGTTGTTCACGTGTGCCGGTACATGCGGCACTCGGAAGATGTCCAACACCTGATTTCAAGAAAACAACAAAGTGTTACGGTGAAAAATATATATATCATTTCGTAAATTGCCTCTACAATCATCCCTTTCCCTGTCTGTGCCTGGGTTCGGTACTGCATACATGCAATGCATGTGACAAATAAACCCCGAGAGTAGGAAGTAACCTCTGTTCCCTAAGTTGGGGTCGTGCCTCCTCGATGAAAGAGCTGTCACTTCCGTTCTGACAGCTTAGGCGGCACATGCTCAGATTTTTCTTTGTTTCCCATGTGCCTTTTCGAGGTCAGCACTCTTCTGTAGCAGTACTGAAGCGCTCTGCGACAATATCTTGAAAGTCTTTTATTATTCCCAGGAACCCTAGACTACGGAGCATAGAGACACAGCCTCATTGTGTACCAAATTCTATAAAGTGTCGTGCCTCGGTTCGACACCCTTTCAAAGTTCGGAAAATACGGGAGGAAATTCGGAAAACTCGAGAGCTTATCAGAAAATCCAAGAGACACCATCGGGAACCAATATTTCAAATGGAGCACAACTGAAGCAATCTTTTATCATGAAAATAAGATGCATTTATTGTCTGTCGTAAATGGATGGAATTCATAGTCGCCTATTATTCTTGCCCATTATGACTGCCAAAAAAGTCTAGCCCATTGCTACTTTCCTAGGATGCCTTACATTCTTGTGTTGAATGATTCCTTTTGAGAATTGTGCGCTTGTAGCCTTCTGTAGACCTTGCAGAGGCCTACTAGTGGTTGAAATGCCATCTGTATGTCCAGACTTATTCTGAAATGTCACCTATCTTGAGGCTAACCCAGCCAATGCCTTTTTTCTCCCTCTCACTTCTGAAAAATGAATGGTGGACGATTGCGCCGATTGCCTAAATTCGACGCCTAATACTGGATATAGATCATGTCGATACGTTTTCTTCATTCTCTATCCGATGGGTAGGTCCCCAGCTGTCCCGACACAAAACTCTTACGCGAATCGTTGTTGTCTCTGTTAAGTCTGGGATGCTTGCCGGTACATCGTGCCTGTGTCCAATATCTCTTTATTGATCATGGTGGTGAGTAGAGGAAAGACCATACTGAAATTAGGAACAGACTCTCCCGATAGATCTAATTTTGATACAATCTCAAACTTGGGCTAATGCTATAACTTTGGCAAGATGCAATTTCACAATTTTTAAATTCCTAATTTCAATTAAAAATCAAATTTCCGTGTCATCCCGTGTCCCATCAATTAATTAGGGCTCATCTGGAGCTTTCCTTCTCTGCCTTCAAGAAACTCCATGAAATAGAATTGAATGCTGTGATAGACATTGCATCTGTTACGGTTGAGTTTCCTATGATGCAAGAAATCCCCTTCTAGTTGGAGGGATATATTATTTTAAATCTATCCTTCCTGCTCCTGATTGTTGGTACTGTCAAGCTTCAAGGTCCTGTATACAAGGGGATTGCAAGAGTTAAGAGCTATTCCAAGTGGTTCATTTAATCACTATGAATTGGAAATTTATTCCATGCATCACAGAAAAGGAAATATATAATAGTTTCAGTGCCCTATCTGTAAATGTGCCTGTAAATGGACACTGACTTCTTGCCTTTAACTATCGTATTTTTTGGGGGAATCATGCATGAAGATAATAAAAAAGTATGCGTAATTTTAAAGGGATATTGCAGAATAAAAATTGGTCTGCAGTTTGAAAATATCGAAGGAGACGTTCGTTCCAGAGAGGCACATCTCCAAATGTTGAAGTAATAGACATCCCTGCTGTTAAGGCCTCCATAAGTCCATTTCATAGCCATTTCTTATCTCGTCAGCAAAGAGAGACCGCTGGTTTTTTTTTTTTCAAATCTTCGCATTTTCTCAACGTGACCACGTAAAGAAGAGACGAATATTTCCATGAAAAATGACCCTCTTTCCCTTTCCCCTTCTCTTCTCCTGACTCATGCAAATTCTTCAAGTGCGGCTGGCAATTTCTGGGACTGACTCTCCTTCCGGTTTCCTCTGAACCTATTAATTTCCCGACATGACGCCAGCAGATTTTTCCCCCATCTGATTCCTGCGTTATGATTCACAGTCATCGCTTACCCCTACCCTTACCATCCCTTACCCCTATGATCTCTAATCATCCTAACGGTTATGGCCAAGGTAAAAAAAAAAAACAAAAAACAAGCTGTGTTGGAACTAGGAACCCGTGTTATGGAACTTAAGAGCCCCTTGTGAAACTTGAGCACACTGCATTTTGCCTACGCGGATACGCATCCTTGTTATTGTATGAACCGGATCCACTCATGCCTTCACCTGCTTATCTCTCCATACCTGTAAGAGACGACGATGCCAAAAGATGCCGTGTCATACAATGCAAAATGCTGTGGAAGTCGTTTGACAAACGAGACGGAGTTTAATCTTAGGAAGGTCTATTTCGTTCGAGTGAATAGGTTATTGGACGAAATTGGACGTTTACGTATCAAATTTTGCAAAGACTTCCTTTTCACTTGTCTCAGGACTTCCGCACCATTTTGTGTAACGCAACCGAACAGCCTAGAACTTTTGCGATAAGAGTAAACGGAATCATCCGAATTTATAAGCTATAAAATAATACGCCGAATAAAGCATTTTAAAAGCTGTTACATCTTTTCAATAAATTAAACTTCTAAGTATGACCAATTTTTTTCCAGCTACTCTGTATAAAGTGCCATTTCCGCTCGATTGGCTTGGCCTTGTGTATTTTCTCATTTTCTCTCAGATCCTTACATAGTGTTCATAAAGTAACTATAATACATATCTACCCATTTTTTAAATTCTTGAATCGGAAGTAACCATTTATTTAGTGAATGTAGCTTGATTATCTGTAACTCTCGGGTTGATGTCACGTCTTTCCTCCTTCCACTGACGCACTTAATTTCACTTACCCTCGGTCACTTCGGATGCAATAATAAAAAAGGTACTCATAAATAGTCGCTTTATGGACACCCTGCATATGGGGTGATTTCCGCTCGGATGACTTCACGTCGGTTTTACCTCTCTGGAGTCATACAGGTGCTCCTTCCACCATGTCATGCTCCACATGAATAAAAATGTTTAATAGCAGAAGTCGCCTTCCTCATCGATGAGAAGGAAACACCTGAGTGCCGCCATCGCGTAAGAGCTCTGGAGCTGCTATGGAGTAGATATTTGCCGAATTCTCGCATGTACTGTCCGAGTCAGATCCTACGCAATATCCGAATTTAGGGATGAATCCGACTACCGATACAGAGAACAAATCCGACCTGATAGAAATGTTATTTTATCTTTTTATCTTTTTTTCATTTTTCTAAAAAGGACTTAAATTTCAAGTGGATCGTCTTCAAAATGCCTTCACCATCGAGTCTGTACAGTATTTAAACCCTGGGCAGATGCTTTTCTAGCCCTCTCTTTCCCTCCATTATCGTAAATAGCCTTTTGTCTGCCTTTTGCAGACGCAGCTAGGAAAGGGCAAAGCTCTTGCAAATGCAGAATCATGGACAAATGAAAGAGAGGAAATAAATAAATAAATGAACAGATGAGGACTGAAGGAATATAAGTCCGATCCGAATTACATTTTTGGAGGAACAAGTACATTTTCATAATCCGAACTAGGATTCGGAAAAGTCTGATTCAGGAAGAGAAATTGGGTCGCATGCACCAGATCCGTTTAATTTTAAACTGATTCGTTTTCATAATAGGCGTCTATGGGAATACGTTTATCTTAGTTAAACTGATTCCCATAAGGAACCATTGTGAGATCAGATTAGTTTAGCTTAAACGGATTCGGTGCATGTCACCCATTGTTTGAGAAACTTTGAATTCGAACTCAGATTCCGTTCAGATGTGACTCATCTTCACTCTGGTCCACCTATGGACACAAAAGGATACTCATGCAAATAACTACATTCTCCTCCGCCAACTCTTAATGCAGATTGAGCTCCAGAGGCAATAATGATATTAAACTAAAAGGAAATTCCTGGATGAGTGATGAATTCCGTGCATTCCAAAATAGCCTTAGGTGCGGGTCATCCTCAATAACCCTCATGTCGAACCCCCAGGCTTTCTACGGTATTTGATATACTTAAGTGACTGATGTGATGTTCCGGTTTTCCCCAAAGCCGCTGTCCCTCGAATATTTCGTTGAATAACATATCACCAAGTCGGAAAAAAAACTAAAAAAAGGCGTTGGTATTGAGGGGTAAAAGCGAAGACAGGAAGAAACGTGAAGAGGCGGACTCACTTCTTGAGAGAAGCCAACGTTGACAGAGGAATACCTGGCGGGAGGGATCGACGATGGATCCGCGGATGGGAGGGAAGACGAAGTGGAGGAGAGATGATTTCCATCTCGCGATGGAAGAGAGAAATTGCAGTTGTAAACCTTTAAGTGAGGTTTACTCCAGTGAGCTCCGATTTGCAATTTCCCACTCCCGATCGCCCCACTCGATCTTCGACGTGCAGACGCCATTTTGATTTTACACACTCCCTCCCCCGCCTCCTCCCCCCTTCCCCTCTCAGTGCCCTTGCTCGTCCCGGTGCCAGCAGGAGAGACCAAGTACTAAAAATATCCATGTTCCCATCTGTGTGCGTGTGACCCGGCCGATATACCGCATGTAAATCATTCATTGTCACCATCGGATGGAGGGAGTTGCAGGGAGGAAAAAAACACTCACCATGGCCTTATTCTTAACGGTCTTATAAGTGCTCAACCTGAGACATAACGCAAGGTATATTTCAGGGGAAATTGCATTGACGTCATGGATGAAAACCTTCGAAGGGCTCTCTTGCTTCATCGAGCGTGGAAGAAACCCTGCGACAGACCCCCTACTTTTGCTGCCATGTTCTTTAACAGAGACAGCAGGCCTAGTACTCGGTACATGACTCCATTGTAAGAAGCATGATAATGGAAGAGTCAATTCCTACTCTCTATAGAATGAGTGTGGTTAGAAACCTGCATTTGTAATCATGACTTTTTTGTCATCTTCTTCGAGGACACAAGAAGTAAGACTCTCTCCCTCGAAGGCTATCGAAGCAGGTGCAGTACACGCATATAAAACTCTCAGGTGTCGAAATTTATCTGGAA